GTTGGTTTCATTTTTTTCATCTCTCAAAAACAATCACCACTTTGTTCATTTCTTAAGGGTTATGATACTAACACAGGTAAATAAGGAGCGTATGGTTATGATACAATATTCTTGGCAAAAAAGTGGCCAAATGGAAATATTTCAATGCTATGTTAGGTGGAAAAAATTAAAAATATAGAGTATGATACCATTTTTGTTTAAACGTCTTTCTATACTTCCATGGAGTCTGAAAGGAGGTATGCCAAAATAATAACAATTTAAGGTGTCGTTTGCAAATTCTGCATAAGATCCCACCGCTTCCTAAAATGGCTCAGAGAATCAACTAGAGTTATAAATAGCTTTTTAGAGGAAGCTATTTCCAACATAAGTTAAAATTCTGTTCTTTGTAATAACATTGTCTTAATCGACTGTACGAATGCCACCTTCTGGAAACAAGGAGTATTTCACCCTAAAAGACTGCTAGAACAATAGCATTTTGTCATAAGGCTGAAATTGGAAATGTTTATAGAAAAAATATTTTTAAATTTAATACTTAATTTTGAACCTTGAAGATCACAATCAAGTTTTGTTAGAAGAGGGGCTGATTCAATATAATCAAAGATGTAGATTATATACATATCCTCAATAATGTGGCCAAGCAAAAGATTATTTTTAAAACACCGGAATGGCATCCAAAAGTAAGCCTTAAGGAGAAGGAAAAATGTAAACAAATACTGTAGGCATTGAATAGCTCAAAAAATGATGAAAAACTTCATTCCTGTTTGATTTTCCTCTAGAGTTAACACAAAAAAATGAAATATTGTCTTTCTTTTGAAATAATGTCTATATCTAGACATGAACTCAACTGGATCTATGAGTCAATGTAGATATGTCTAAAAAATTACCAAAGTAAAAAATTAAAATAATGTTGTAGATTTACATCTGTAGTGTGATAACATACCTATGCACAGACAAACAAAGTAACACGGTACCTAGAAATGTATACAGAAATGTAGAATGTTTGCAAGTGTATCTAGAATGATTAACTTTGGGGAAGTGGAAGAGAGGACCAGTTAGATGGCAAAGACTTACATGTAAGTTTATATGGGAAACTTATGTGAATGTAATATTCTATTTAAAAAAATTTTTTTTTCAACGTTTTTATTTATTTTCGGGGGAGTTGGTGAGAGAGACGAGCATGAACGGGAGGGCAGAGAGAGGAGAATCGAAACAGGCTCCAGGTTTCCTGAGCCATCACCGCCCCAGAGCCTTTATCACACGCCGCTCAACTCGGGACTTCACAGATCGCGGGATCTGGCTGAAGTCGGATGCCTAACCGACTGCGCCACCCAGGCGCCCCTGTAATATTCTATTTTTAAAAAAGAGAATGTATTTAACTTGTATAATTTACTGCTAATTGGAAATACAAAATAAAATGAACTCTTGCTGAGAAGTAAAACAACAGAATCCTGTTATATAGGTACAGCTGTCAATATTTTGTGCTATAGCAGATGCAATGTATGTTTCTTACATATATTGTATGTGAACCATACAGTCTAACTGTATTGCAATCCTGTGTGTGTGTGTGTGTGTGTGTGTGTGTGTGTGTGTGTGTTCAAACACAGAATAAAATATCTAGGAAGTGCACAGCTCTAATTTGTAAGGTGCTTTCACTTACAGTGTCCTCATGGATAACATAGATTCAGTCTCAGTTAATTCTTTGGCATTAATAATTTAAAAATATTAATGCTTGTGACCTATAGAAATGAGGTCCCCTGGTAGAAGTAAAGATTCTTTCTAGAGCAGC